CATGTAAATTAAACGGCGCAAAATATTCAGTTATGATCTTACGATTGACAACAAATAGCGACTTCGGCGAAATACGCAACCGTATTGCCGAACGATTAGCGGCAGTATGTTGCTGTATGAGTCATTAACGAAACATCAGGTGTCAAACTTATTCGTGTCAACGAAGTAAACATGTACAGAACAAGCTTACTCTTTATCAGAATGGAAGCACCTTTAATATTAGTCATAAGAGAGGATTTTGGCACATAACTCCTCCACTGCAGAATATTCATGGCCTTTTGTAATTTTGCAAATGTTCAGTTGTAATTTCTTCAACGAGTCGTTAAACACAGAAAACTTTCCAGGAGCTCGAAAACTTAGATGCGTGAAAGTTGGATTATGTGATTCTCACTGTGCAAGTATTTTCTGCATTTAATGTTAGGAAACCCTGTAGATAAATTTCTGACTCAGACTGTCACACCTGAAAAGATTGAGACTATCAAGCTGCAATGTAGCTAATATTTGTTTGCTGCCTTAATTCAGAAGTACTAATTCAATGAGAGGACATTTTAGAAAAAAAAACAATTACGTCAGTTTCCAGTTAATTAAGTCAAGTGATTCTTTAAAAACTTAGATTGGTGTTGATTGGTCGGTAGAGCGTAGAACTCAGAATGAGTACCACTGTGGGAAACAGAATAATACATTCTGTGCTTGCCGAACAGAGGCCAATACAAAGCAGTAACTGACGTTTCCACAAGCAACTTCATGGAAATAGCCGGTTGAATAATGAATCTGTAAGGAAAACCAAAATTTCAAATGTTATGAACTTTCTTTTTTTCGTCGTATTCTGCTGCAGAACATCAGAATATTACTCCGTACACCTTGGAGTCGTTAATGGCGAACAGCTCGCCAAAAATCAAACGCTTGTGGCTTAAAAACTTTGGTACGTTTCAGATACTTTCACAAAAATGAATAATAGCTTCCAAATCACAATGATCGGTGAATAACTGTCAGTTATGGAGCATTACTAAAGAATAGCAGCCATCTGAGGCTGGTCGACTGAAGTTTACGCTTAATAAGGTCTTTTCCCTGTATTATTCATTCGTATTTGGATCACTAAAAAATACACTTAGCTGCCAACGAAGCGAAAACCTCCTTTCCGATAAAACAATGAACTTTTTATTCCAGTATTTTTAATTCCCGTGAAGCAGCCAACATTTCTCATTATTATTGTTGTAGGCGTTCATGATGTTTTTAAAAATTGAACCATCCCATTAAATGAAGAACCTTGTATGGTATCTGTTGAAGAACGGTTGTAACTCAGATGCACATTTCCATGGCAAACGTGTCAAAATAATATTGCATAAGCCAATTGTTTTTTGGCAAATGCAGCGTCATGCATTGCTTTCATCTATTGGGCAATGAATAGAATATGGTACCTTTTGTCGGTGGTTGTTTCGGCATCTCTGGATCATTTTTATCGCTTCTTTGCAGCAATGCTAAATTGTTCCTGTGTGTCAGTGAAGTTTAATTTGAAATGCTTTTTCGGGCTATAAAATGAAGAAACTCCATCTGTCTTGATTAAAGAGTTATTTTTTACCGCTTAAATATAATCATAAATGAATGCCACTTTCTAGAGATGGAAAATCAGAACAGCAGTCTTCAAATTATATTATTTAATGTACGAATGAAATGAATTCATCGGTTAACCGTAATGATGATGCATAAAACTATACAAAATGCTGGCTTTTGATTTTCTAAGTACGCAGTTTCTGTTAGCTGATAATTAGCAAATGAAAACGTGGTTTTTATGAAGATCGCTTTCCATTCCACTTGATTTAAGCGGCAAAATTTCTGACACTGTGGACGCCAATTCTCATCTATCTCTGACCTTTTGTGAAAATACGTTTTTGCAGTAAGACCGAACCACTAGAAGTTTAGAAGAGTTTTTTTAATTTGAAAAAATTCAACGAGATGCCAAAGAGAATTCTTTCGGCATGCTGCAGTAATTATGCAAATTTCGTACTATTAGTTGCAAATTTTCGTTTAATGATTTGTACAAGGCCTAACTATAAATAATTAAAGTCAAATAGCTGCGCTTGTGAGCAAATTTGTCACTGTTTTCCGACAGTAATATAATCATGACTACTGCAGAAATGCTGTAAATGATCATATTTTAATTGCAACAAAATATGAATATTGGTGCGTACTGTAAACGACATAAATGAAAAGTTTTTTACAAATCCAAAATGCTGAATCTCCAGATGAAGACATTACGTCGCAATTCCAGATTTCTTCGAAACTACCTCGTTCTTTCCTTCATGTCGCTAAAATGTCATATGTATAGTTTTGAGGATCTGTAACGCTGAAAAAAACTTATTTCTAACGTTATCTGAAGATTTATGTAGAGGAGGGTTTCATTCCTTGCTCGGTTTATATGTTGTGAAATTAGGCTGTCCGCTACTTGAAGAATTAAGCGGTCATCGAAACTGACAATTTCTGCTGATCAGCAAGACTTATCACAAAACATGATTAACATACAGTTTAATAGTGAAAACTTTTTCAAAAGGTTTGCGACGTTTTTCTCGTCATGTACATTCTTAATGACAGGTGCGATCATTTTTTCTCCTTTAAGCATGATATGATGAGCTTTATCGGATGATTTTAATTATTGTGTATTAGACAGGTACCAGCAGTGTTATTTAACAGAGCAGACGGAAGGGAAAACCGGTTTAGTCATATGTAAATGACGACTCCATTCTGAATTTGCCGTTATCGTGATTTAAGGAAAAATATCGTATTGCATCCACGTAGTTGTGAACAGGATCGATGTTTTGTTTAAGTCTTTTACTACAGTACGTTTACACTGGTAGTTATGCTGATGTTTCGCATTGTGTTCTTGTTTACCTTATTGTTTCCACTTCCGTTGTTGGTTATTGAGTCTAAGTCTGGCTCTTTCGTTCCTTTGTCCGTCTCTCCAAGTCGTCGTCATGTTCCATTCAGTAACACAGCACTGCAAAGTACTTTTCATTATGCTTGTCAACGTCCTCATATAAACCGAAGTCTTTCATTTATGCATTATTTTGGTTAACAGTATTTCTATCTCATGGTATATTTGTTGTTGGTAACCTAAAAGATCGTTCAAGCAGGCCATCGCTCCGAGCTGTTTTAGCATCTGTAGTGCCTTTGCTGCTCGAACAATATCATGTCCGAAGAAATTGATATGGCGTTCTCTGAAGCTGAAGATATAATAACAATGCTGTTTTTTATTTATGGTTTAAGGAATATACCAACTGGTTGCACCAAGTTCTTGTCAGAGTACTAACGTTTTGAGCAACTGTCCCCCATTCCTCAACTCCTCATAACATTAAAAAATATTATTCTGTTATTCTTAATTGGATTTTTAGTTGTGGCATCGTGGAAAGTCGCCTTTAGCAGCGTTTGAAAGAACATTGTTGGGAAATGGTGTTATTCTTATTGTTGCTTTTCCAATTCCCATTTCTGGTACATTCCTTCTCATACTCCAACCGATTTCGTCCTATCCTACGTTTGTACACCAAGGAATCCGAAGATGATGAACAGTCGGTGGTGCAGTATTTCTCGAATGCGATCGATTCCGTTATATGTATGGAAACAGTTCTCGGGGATGGAAGTATGTTTCAGGAAATTACGGATTTCCAAAAGGTATTTTAAGGTTATTGTAGGACTGAAATTGTAACTGATTGATGAATGCGTTAGGAAAGAATGCGGCTTAAGACGTTAAGGCGATTACTAGTAGAGGTCTCGAAAATCAGTGGCCATTCGCTCAATGAAGTACTAAGGCATGTCGTTGATTTAACCATCTCATCCCGCTGTAATGGTTAAGGACATCCTGCGAATAGTACTGATCATTTGCATAAGAGACCATTGCAAGGCCTGTTATAATTTTTATTAACTAAATTCAGGTATGTGAATGATTTTGCTGAACGGAATAATATGAAGGATCTATAATTTCAGCTTCAGGGCACTTAACAGCAGTACTTGTTCAATCCGACATAGTCTTTATGTAGTTTGTGTTTATTGCTTTGTGGTTTCGTACCGGCTCATGATTATGTTTATTAGATGTAAACATGCAATTGAAATTTTGTTTTCTGACATGCGTATTGTTGTTTTCTTTGTCAATCCCCTTCAAGCACAAATTTTTTCTTCCTTCCTTCATTCAAACACACAAACGTATATTAACGATTTTGACGTTCTACTTCTCCTTATCCCATTATACTGCAAATGACTCCAGGTGGCTTAGAAGCATTTAACTAGAATCGAATAAATACCTGCTCATTTGTACTGTTGCTCGAGATCATGGCAGTTCTAACGAAATCTGGAGATTTTTTGGCTTCCGCCTGCCATCAGGCTTTGTGTTCAGTATTTGGCAATTGTTTCACCATCTTGTTTTCATCCATTTGGTCACTATTCGAATAGCATAGGTCGTATCATTTCACTCCTGTTGTTGAACTTCATATCTTCATTTCCTTCGCTTCTAGTTTTCTTTTTTCAAAGTTATTAAGTGATTTCGTCTGCAAGGATGTTCAGAATTCAAACCTTTTGTATCTGTAACACCAGTTACACAGTAAACAGTAGTAATGTAAATCCCATATCGAAAAGTAGTATCACTTGTTGACCATGGAATACTAAGTTAATTCTAAGTGTTGATCGTTGTCGGTCTGTCTTCTTTCGAACAGTGATTCAGTGTTTCTGTTGTCTTTCGTCGCCAGATATCTCGTGAAATGTATGACAGGCTTGTATGAGAAAATGAGCTGCTTGTCTGCTGTTTTACTCTTAGTTTTTTCTATATATCTAGTGTATTCTTAATAAAATTTGATATTGTCGCATGCAAATAAAATAAGCGATATAATAATTAAATAAGCAGAAAAATAAAAAAAAATACAGATTTTTAAACCAGTTCTGTTGTGAGCAGAGGAACTGATTCGTTTTATTTTAAAGCCTATATCTATTTCTGGGCAGATGCTTTTCTCAGACTAGTGAGAGATGAAATTGAAGTATTGAGGATGCGGCTCTTCTGTGCGATTTCGGGTTGACTGGAAATTGATAGTTCAATAATGATCGCGGTTGGTTCATTAGAGAAAAACGGTTTATGGGCCAAAATGCTTTAGGCATAACATAGATTAATTTGCTGAATATCAGACTTTTTAGGTAGATAAATGACGAATACTTCGTAAGAAGAAAATGAGACGAAACATCATGCAGCTGTAAATATGGCGTAAACAACGAAAGACATTGAGATTAACGCCATGCGGTAAGTTTCATGAAAGGAAGGGTGTCACAAACGGTATCTAATCGTGGACAAAAATCCTCTTTTCTTCTTTCTGTCACGGAAATTAAGTGACTGATGTTCTCTTCGATGGCACCAGGTGGTACTGCCTTATATTTTTGGCAGACGCTGCGTATAGTTAATTGGAGCCTCTAGCCTTATATTCATTGATTTCCATTTGTCCTGTTTCGAATCTGAGTTCATCATTCTTCACTGAGATTCCCGGATTGGTATCAGAAAATTTAAGCATATCTGCCGGCTGCCGCAAATCCCAAGATCTCATTAAGGGCTGTCAGAAAAACTGTTCTATAGTTAGGGTGGCAGCGATTCACCTACGATTAAGTTTAACCAATTATGGCTTTATATATGAATGTACATTTTCAGCTTTTAAGGCAATCAGGATTTGGAACGTCTACCTCCTCGGAGAAATGGAACTTGGACAACCGCCAGTGCAGCACTTATGCTTCGTTTCCGGCTTAAATCCCACGAAGTTATTTCCGCCGAGTTCGCTCGAACGGCTCAAGCAGGTACGTGTAGTATCCAGGAATGTTCAATATGTACCGCTAGAAATTCTTTCATATTCATTTTATTATTCCATTAATTATTTCTTCCTCGTTCTTCCATTACTTTGTTCATTCTTTCCTGCAGTAATTACTTCATTCGAAATGTTCACTGTGGAGAATTCACTTAATCATATCTTCATTATTGTCGTTTGTATCATTTAAATGTTCAGGGCATCAATTGTGCAGTGTGACAACATTTTGCTATTTGTACGTCATTGATTCGCTGTGACGTAAATTCCAGACTGTCAGGACTACTAAGAGGTAATGCTCACAGACCTCTCTTTTCTTTCAAATATTAGTATAGTATCATATTGTATTCTGAACAGTAATGTAATATGCAGCTGTTTTCTCATTCAGAAAAATCCTCAGTTTGTGCACCTGGCGGAAAAAGACTTGGGCGCAAGTTCTGCCGATTTTTCTCTCGTGGCCTCTATTTCGATGATTCCTGAAGAATACCTCGCTTCCATTTTGAACTTTTGCGGAAACAACAGCGTTTACTTGATTGAAGGTGAGGCTATTCTTCGAATGTCGTGCGTATAATAGTCGACATTAACTTGAGAGAAGTTTCATATCACTAAATTCAACAATGTATCGACGAAGGCACTGAGTGGGATCCCAGATTGCAGTGGTTGGTTTGACGGCCGTGGACCCTGTCGCTGTATCTTAGAGGTCTGACACGAGCAGTAAGTGAAAAACAACCTCTCATCATTATGGTATTTAGCTTTGCAACTTGTGGTTCCCTTGCGAATGGAAATCGTGTAACAAAAATGACGTAGCCGCGATGGAGGGCGGCTACACCGTCAGCCGCTGCGGTGTAATAAGTTGCAGGTCGTGTCAGCGGTTTAATTACGAAGTTAGCAATAAATTGCATTGCATCGCCACAGTTTAGCACCTAATGTTGACAGATACATCACACGAGAGAAGACTCAGTGTTTGTAAAACTATGCGTCAACTAGGCTTAACAGAGCTCAAATCCAAGAATGGTTACAAAAAATATGTTCATTATGCTGTATTACGTGTGTACGTATATCTCGATGTATGTCAAATATATGTTTACAATGGATGTCCATTGATCGTACAGAGTAACTAAATACTACACATGCTGATGTGGCTATGTATATCATATTTTATATATATGTTCGTAATTTTACGGTTATTAATCCTGCAGAGTGACTATATACCGCACATCACAAATCCATAAATATACTACATATAATGTGCTACTGCTATTCACTGCAGTTGCTGTATTAGCTAGCAATGCCTATTTTTATTCATTTATAAAATGATAGCACAGTTTCTGTCAGCCGTGAGATAAAGGGTCATTTTGTACTTTGATCTCGGTAAATTGTTAATTCTATGCATGGGTACATGAGAACGCATTTCCATTTTGACATCTTTGCACAGAAAACTGTTGACCCTATTCTTTGCAAATGTTGTTGCGAAATACCGCGGTTACTACTTCGATTTCTAAGTTTTCAGTTTTTTAATTCACTTTTTCTTTTTCTTTCAATTCATGACTAGACATGGTTTGAGTAGGTTTAGTACTCGTTCAGCCTTCAATGTTGCTGCGCGGCTAGCAGGAGTCTGGCTTTCCCCGCTAAGATAACCTCTTTCACCTGGATCTCTTGCGGCGAATACCGGTCAGCTGATCGATCGGTCACAACTCGACAAGGAGTGCTGAGGTTACAGTTTCGATGTTCTTTCAGAACTGGAAATTTGGCCCCATGTATTTCAGGCCGTGCGGTTGCCATTCGGCAGTGATTCAGAATCGAAACTGCACTGCAGGAAGCTGAGCATTTCGACTACTCGATGATCATGCAGTCCATGCTATTTTCCGCCTTAGTCGGATATGTCATATTTCAAAGGAAGAGGTACACGAGCTTTAAGCCAGTATGAACTAGACTAATGAACAGTTGCCAGGATTAGGTTCATTCTGACACCGGTTGTCGCCTTCGTATGTGCCGGAAGCCTGGACGTCGGAATAAGGTAAAGTAGCGTCTTGTGCATTATGAGAAAGGGGATTTTGATAATATAGCAGTTCTTGCCGCACATAACACAAGGTCATTTGCTTGTCTTCACTACTGCAAATATAAAAACAGGGTTAAAATAACCTGAGTTATTAAATAAGACTAATAACTAAAGAAACAATATAATATTAGCATTAACTATAATGAATCAAGAGCCAGTACCACCAGTAGACTAGGATTGTTCGCTTAAACTTGAAACTGAAGGGAACAAAAAATTCAAACTAAGTAAAATCGAATTTAAGCAAAATGAAGAGGTCAGTAAAATAAAACTGTAAATTACAGAATTTGACACGCATCAGCCTATCGTGTATTATTGCATTTTATGTAGATATAATAATTTTAATAAGCAATCGGTTCGACAGTAGCATCCAGGCGACCTCAGATGCCCCCGAATGAGTCCACAGTTTGCGCATAATGGAACTACTCTTAGATAAGCAGTCGTCGATAACATGACCACAGTGCTGGGAGGCCATAGTGAGTCAACTTCCGGAAAATTGCGTCTAGAAAACACTCCAAGTTCCGATGAAGTTACCGAGAGCGCGGTATCTTTGCGAGGACATGTCAAGATTAAACTAGCATGATATAAAGCATTTTAAAGGGGTCTGTCTGCATTCTGGTATTGGAGCAACGTTGCTCTGAAACACAGTGTAGAAAATAACAACACGTTCCACTGAGTATCTCCATTTTATCTATTTTGCGCACCGTTGTTAGAGACTGTTTCCGTCTCAGCCACGAAGAACTGATGAAATGAAGGTCCTGGGCCACTGCCGCCGAATGCTGCGGATTTAAAAGGGACGGCCTGGGGGTCAGAACAAATCTTCATGGTGAACACGAGAGGTACAACTCGCAGTTAAAGAGAAGGCAGCATTCAAGAAATGGCTTGGAAAAAAATAGCGTTCCATTCGAATGCGATACGTCGAGGCAGGCAACGGGCAGCTGATCCCTGGCAGAAGTTCGGTGAGGTGTTGGAGTCGAATTTCCATAAGGCAAACAAAGTATTCTGGCAGACCATCCGCTGACTCCAAGGTGAAAAGACGGGCAGTCTCATAGTCTTGAAGGACAGACCTGGACACCCTCTTACCAAGCATGATGACATTCCTCGGCGATGGAATGTTGGTACTTTGAGGAACTCCTTAACCTCACCGCAACCGCAGGAAGTCTCGCCTGTAGAGCAGCATGGAACGGATGATACCATCTCTGCAGATGAAATTACACAAGTTGCGGAAACCTTCATAAACGGAAAGGCTGTTTGGATTGAAATCCGCCCTGAAATGCTCAAGGCATTAGTTGAACAAGACGTGCTGGCTTACATGTTTCTGTCAAATTGCGATGACTGTGGGAAAGGCACCAGACGGGAGTTATTGTACCCGTATTCAAGAAGGGAGACCACAAGGAATGCTCCAGATATAAGGGGAAACGTTACTCAGCCTCCCAGGTAAAGTCTACGAAATGGTGTTAGAAAGGAGGTGCCATGAAATAGTTGACGTCAAGATACAAGAAGAGCAGTGTGGCTTTCGGCCAGCTCGAAGCCCCTCTGACCGTATATTTGCCCTGCGCCAGATATTTGAGAAATTTGGGAGTACGCCCATCCGGTAGTATTGCTAACCTAGAAAAAGCCTGTGACCGGATCCCGCGCAACAGTCTGTGGTTGTTCCTGTGGGACAGATCGCCAGCTTCTTCGGGCC